CTGTGAGTTCAAGGCCAGCCTGGTTTATATAATGAGTTTGGTGAGTTCCAGGACAGCTGGGACTACAGGAAGACCCTGTCTCAAAAAGACCAAAAAAAAAACTATATTCTTCAAAACGTCACTGTCATAAATACAAAAGAAACCATTAAAAGGTGCCACGTCAAAGAAGGCTGTGAAAGGCATGACAGCTAACACAGTGCTGATATCGGGCTGGGTCTTGGCCTGAAGGAGAGCAAGGTCGCAAAGGACATTTTCCAAAATGAAAATGGTTACAGCGAAGGTAAACAGTGTGACATGGTATGCAAGACATGACAGTTGCTCCAGTCAAGCCAATCTGCATGTCCACCTGGCCCCATCATTCTGGGGTAAGAACACCAAAAAGCTATCCTCCCAACAGATTCAAGGATACAATGCACACAGTATGACCAACAGCAGTCCAGGTGCTATTAGATGTCTAGAATCTGCTCTCTGTAACTGAAACTTTATACTTCTTTGATGGGCATTTCCTCACTTCCCCCACCTCGCACCCTTGTTACCTGATTTCACTTTGTCAGAAGAATTCTACTTGTTTATTAGATTCTACATATAACTGAGATCATGCATTTGTTTTTCAACACCTAGCTTACCTCACTTAGCATAATGCCCTCCATGTACAGACAGGTTATCACAAATGTCCTTCTTTATTAGGACTGAATATTCTATGTGTGTGTGCACATAAGCATGCGCATCTGTTGACAGAAACATAGGCTGTTCCAATATTCTGGCTACTGTGAATATATTACAATAAATATACACACACAGGAATCTGTATTTAAGAATTTGTAATGCTGATCAACATTCATAGAGGCATTACTGAAAAGGTTTTAAAATTGTAGAAAACGGCAATGTTAAAACACCCTGAAGTTGATCTGCTCTACATCTACCTCAGAGAATATCCATATTCTTAGAAAATACCCACAGAGCATTTATGAATGAAGGGCCATGATGTCTGGAAATTGGTCTCAAATAGTTCATAAACACAATTTACACACAAATACAGACAAGATTAATAAAGTAAATAAGGTTAATGGGTAAAGCACATATTGGCCTATTCTAATTCTTGTATATCAGTCCTTTATTTTCTGAATAATAATCTGTGTGTGTGCATATTCTTCTCGGCTGACAGACACAGGTACTGCTTTAGTATCGTGGCTATTGTGAACAATGATGCAACAAACATCCAAGTAAAGGTCATTCAATGACCTGATCTCATTCTCAAAGGACAGTGTTGGCTCCCTTTTTAAAATTATATTGTAATATAATACCAATGAGCACTTCATTTCTTTGAGGGACAACCATAGTTGACTCTGACTATATCCACTTTGTACTTCTTTCCTAAATGACACCATTGTCCACTCTGTGTGTTCTCAAACAGATGCTCCCTGAAGCTGTCAAGGGTTAAGTTCCGTATTTTCTACTATCTGCCAGTCACCCAGACCCATGAGTACATGACTGTCCTTTGGTCTGAGGAATTGGTTCATGCTAATCCAATGCCAGAAGATTTAGGCCTTTCATTTGGTGGTTGAAAAGAAAATTCTTTCCCCTATGACTACGGCTCAGAAAACATCAGCCCCATTTGCTATCAAAAATATCCCAGAGTGATGAAAAAGGCACAGCCTTAGGCAGAAACAAGTACTTCAACAGCAAAAATAAACTGGGTCCTTCACAACATCAATGAGTTCCTACATCAATTAACCTCAAAGCCAGCCTAACAATGGCCTAGCCAATTACATGAATCAACTAATTCTCTTACATCCAAGCTCCTTGAGCTGAATTTTATTCAACTCATGAATACAGGACACTCTAAATCAGTATTGTTTCTTATAAAAGATCTAGGTAGAAAAAAGGACAGAAAAAGAACAGAAACAAAAACAGGAGGGAAGAAAGGAAAGTCAAGGACCAGACAGGAAAAGCCATCAGACTAGAAACATAAGGCGACAGAGATCACAAGGAAGGCACGAGGCGGCCGTGACCAGATCACAGGAAAGTTGAGCTTTGTTTAGAGCAGAACAGTTTGAGTCTACCACAGTTATATAACAGGGTGACTTCCATCTAGAAGCTTCCATGACTTCTGAAGCTCAGACAATCCATAATTTGTCCTTATGAAGTTTTTTTTCTTTTTGCTCTAGATTCTGCGAAATTTTTTGTTTTGTTTTGTTTTTTGGTCTTTTTGAGACAGGGTCTCCCTGCAGCCACAGCTGGCCTGGAACTCAATATGTAGACCAGGCTGGCCTTGAACGCACAGAGATCCACCTAAAGGCGTGCGCCACCACGCCCGGCTCAGTAAATGTTTTTTAAAACTGAAAAAGATGCTCATTACTGAAATGAACTGGGTAAAATGTGGGGTTTCCCTCTACAGTGAATCAAGGAAGGATGCAATTCCTAAGAGGATAGGAAAAACACAAGGAGTCCAGGACAGCCAAGACAGCTGGCCCATGACCAGCAACTCAGTGGAGAAGAAGCCCTCAATCCCCCACAGCTCCTGTGCTGGGAGTCATCTTGATACCAGCTATACACACACAACAATCCTGTTCCCAGGACCCCAGGTGAAGATTGGAAAAGCAGGTGATACAAGTCAACCCACAACCCAGGCTAGGTTCCTGCATCTTAAAACAATCTATTTTTCCCCCAGAAAATAAAACATTTCTCATCACTTTCCTTTTCCCACCCCACAACTTGCAGAGTCTGGGGAAAAGATAAATAGCTGGCTTCTAGGAATCAATTTGCAAAGCAAATGGCAAACAAGACTGAAAGTATACATTTATCAGCATGTCAGCGCTCTGTACAGAGAAAATAGGCATATTAAGCTGTAAAGGAAATGTCAAGTAATAGGGCAGTTCAGAAATGAAACTTGTAGCTGCAGAAAACAAAGATTCTATCAGTTTTCAAAAACATAGACAGCAATATAAACATAAAAAGAATTCATAGAAAACAACTTGATATTTAAATAGATAGAGGAAGTCCCTTTGTGATGACCAGTCCCAAAGGACACTTTGAACAGCAGTCTTGCTCACAACAATGTGACCCAGGACACCTTGTTCTCTTGCTTAGATCACTCACCATGCACACCATGATACCTCTGCTTTGTCAGCATCCACAAGCCATTTCCACAACCAAGGGGGAATTTCTTCTAGCTAAAACGCAACACCCTCGATACACCCTATCGACCACCTAAATGTGTTTGTGTCTATATAATTTTTTTTTTTTTTTTTTTTTCCCTAAAAACCCAGCTGGGCTGGAACTCACTATGTAGACCAGGATGGCCTTGAACTCACAGAGATCCACCTGCCCCTGCCTCCTGAGTGCTGGGATTAAAGGTGTGCGCCACCACACCCGGCTAAATATTTATTTTTGTGTGAATATATTGCCTGCATGTATGTAAGTGCACCTGTGTCACATAATGCCCACAGAGGTATGAAAAGGACCATCAGATCCCCTGGAAGTGGAGTTATGGATGGTTGTTAGACACAGTGTGGATACTGGGAATCAAACCCAGGTCCATTTGCAAGAGCAGTCAGGACTCTTAACCACTGAGCCATCTCTCCAGCTCTCTGGTGTTTGTATTTTATCCCACGTGCTCCACCCAACTCCAACAGTTGTTCTGTGTAAACTTGGGGTACACTAATACCCATACACCAAAACATACTTCTATCACATTTGCATTCAGATAATTTCTTTGAAATCTCTACTCTTGCTTTACAGTGATCACTAGACTGGGGTGTCTTTGAGTACAGGAGTTGTATATTTTATTTTCATCTGATCACCCACTGTCTTGATCCAGGGCTGGGACACAATAAATGAACAATGCAAGTTTGCAGAAAGAAAATAGTGTCACCCAACCAACAGACAGCTGTTTAACTTCATGATTTTTTTTAATATTTTCTTTTTTTAATTATTATTATTTTATGCATATGAGTGTATTGCCTGCATGTATATGAGTGCACCCATGTCATGCAATGCCGCAGAGATCTGAAGAGGACTTCAGATTCCCCTCAAACTGGAGTTAAGGACAGTTCATAGCCACCATGCGGGTGCTGGGAATCGAACCCAGGTCCTCTGCAAGAACAGTCAGTGCTCTTAACCGCTGAGCCATCTCTCCAGCCCCTAACTTTGTGATTCCTATCATTTTACATACAGGCACACATATAAGCATGCACACTTTCTTTTTCTGTAAAACTAGGCTCCCTAGGAACAAAATGTGGGTCCCATTTTTCTGCATCTTGGTGTGTATGTGTACACAAATAAAACTGAGTCACAGATTCATGAATAGCCACACAATAATTTACAGAACACAATCATGGACAGTTCAATGTGTATTTTTATTTGATCTGGAAATAAATTCCTACCATCTCTGATGGGTGGGTAGAAGAACTTTTCAGGGAAATGGAAAACAGCAATTCAACCTTCCAATTATAATTTTCATTCACTTTACATATGGTAGCTGGTCCCAGCAATATACTTTCTATTTAGGGAAAGCAAACCCAAGATTAAAAAAATCAATAGGTAATCTAATAATGTAATAACAAAAACCCCTATAATTTTGCCAATTTTTACTTTCTTTGGCATGTTTAATAGATTTTTAACAACGTTAGTGAAAGGCCCAGAACCTCTGCTGGTAAGTGAAAGTTCCAGTTTCATAGATGAACTATCATTAGCTCCTTTGGCAGAGCCAAAAGAGTAATTGCAAGTGACTGTTCTCAATTGCAGGTTTTAAGTTTCTTGTCAAATAATTTACACTCACGAAATTGGTAAGGCTGTTTCCCGGCTTCTATGTTCTATTCACTTAGAAATAATTTAGTAAGACTGGGGTTAGAGTTCAGTGGCAGAGCATTTACCTAGTAAGTGCAAGGCCATGATTCAATCCCCAGCACCACAAAAACAAAAACCAACCCAATAAACAAAAAGCAATAACAAGAATAAGCACTCTTCCTCTCTCCTCAGACGACAAACCAGAGATTTACCGTTTTAATGTCTGCGATCTCTGTGATGCTGCTGTCTGAACTGCATTTTGACATTGTGATAGTTTATTGGAAAATCACAGCATGCCCAAGCTTCTGCTCTAAAAATAAATGCAAAAAGAGCCAAGTGTAAGATTGCTGTAAACTGATGTGCACACAATGAGCCTGCTGAGAGGGGAGCTGCAGGAAAGGCCTAATGTTGTTTACTTCAAAACAAAAGACATCTGGGTTATTTTAGAATGCTGTGTCTAACCTAAAACAAAGAACAAGAGAGGCACAACAGCAAGCCAAGCTTCCAGGGAACAGAGCTTCGGCAAAGACCAAGGAAACGGTCAAAAAAAGTGAATAAACGAGACTCAGATTTCAAAGACCACACCTTACAGATTATAGAAAAAGAAAAAGGTAATTATGTATACTTCCCAAATTCGTACTTACAATAAATAAAAAGATAAGGTCACCAGAAGAGGTAATTAGCGAGAAATCCAAATAACTTATAACAAGCCTTTAGTACATGTATGAAATCCAATAGCAATTCTAAACGAAATTTAAAAAACTCAAAAAATAGTTAAATCTGCTCTATCAGCTCTTTTATAGACCTGGTTTGTGAATAAAGCGTTCAAGAATATAATTAACAATGCTAGTGTTGAGAAGAAATTGAAATTTAGGTTACCTCTCCTAAATGATATTATGATTCACAAACTTTAAGAAAGCACAAAGAATAGGTATGAACTCGGGTGTGGTGGCCCACACCTTTAATCCCAGCACTCGGAAATTCAGGAGGCAGAGGCAAGAGGATCTCTGTGAGTTCGATGCCGGCCTGGTCTATACAGCAAGTTCCAGGGCCAGCAAGGGTTACATAATGAGACCCGGTCTCAAAAACAAACAAACAACAACAAAAAAAAAAAAACACAAAAAGAATTTCTATGAAAAGCTTAATATAATCAGCACACAGATTTGTGCTCACCTGCTAACAATTCCTACACCACCATGGGGCAGGATATGCAGGCCAATGGGCAGTGCGGCTCTTCCCACTATCCACTCAAGCCTTTCAAACATTCATTGGGGGGGAGGGGGTTAACTCTCATTTTGTACACTTTTTTTCCTTCTAGATGTTAACAAATCAGATTGGAACAACCTGAACACTGCTCAGTACACACATATTTACCTCAAAATGCTGATTCTAAGTTCTTTCAGAGTTTCCAAGTCTGCATTAATTCATAACCTAGGTTACCTAAAAGCAATCAGAGAGAACATTTTAGAAGAGACAACTCATTCTTAAAAACCAATCCTAAGAAATTGGCTACTTAACAAATTTGATACTTGATAAAATTTTTAGATTTAACTCATCAGAATTAGATATCTCATAAAATTATCTATTGGATACATGTCTGAAAGAGCTGCCTATTAGTATTGTAATTAATGTTCTAAATCAACAGAAAAAAAAGGAACAGCCTTATTTGTACAATCCAATCAGATACCAGAGAGAACCCTTGATTACATTCCCCAGTAAGATCTGGCATTCAAGCTCCCTAAGGAGCTCCAGAATCAGAGCGGCCTGTCTTCCAGCCTCCAGGATGCCCATGTGTCTTTAGGGCTAGCTCGTCCTCCTCTGCATTTTTAATCATTCTATACTGCCACCCAGTAAAAGATGCAAAGACCAGGCACACCAACATGGTGAGATGGATCAGGTTCTAGACTGTTTCAGATTCACCTCATTTCTAGCAACTCTATAGAACAGTAAACAAGGAGGAGCTGAGGATGAGCACAATCAAAACACACTGGATGACATTCTCAACTAATTAATAAAAATATTTTTAAAAGAATAGTAAACAGATCATCCTTTAAAAAGACAACTCAACCATTACAAAATTACTGCAAAATCATTCAATTATGTTACTATTCTGTATGTACAAGAAAAAGTCAATATGACAACTATGTAGTAGTAACTAAATTTATTAAAAAGGTCATCAATGCTGATTGTTGACAATAAATTACAAACTTGTAATTTAATTACAAACCTACAAAATCCTGTTTCATAGGCCCCTTTATGTAGTTCTGAACTAGGTATGCACCATCCCAGATCCTAGGTTTTAATACAAACGGCTCCCACCAGCACCTAGCTGCAGTAGTTTGAGCAGTAGCCCTTCCAGCTTGAAGCTTAAAGCAGCTACAACTTCCTAGTATAAATTCTCAAAACAAGTTAACAGAATGCCACAGATTGTGACACCATTAGCTTCACAGTTACTACTATCTAATTTCATCCTATTTTCAAGCTCAAAATGTACAACTTCCATAAAGTTCCCTGTAAACAAGGAGGAAAAACAAGATAAGCACTGGCATTAACATTCTGTGAACACTATGAAGTTTGGAGGGCTTTGCATTCCCAGCCATACATGAACAGCAAAGGAGCCTTCATGATGGCAGGCATCCACACTGGAGAGGCCAAGAAACAGCTTCCCATGACCATGTGGTATGAGGGTGAACAAAATTAAAATTTTGTAAATTCTCATTGCTGAGAATTAAAGGCAAGAAATCCCTCTTCCCTGCTCTCCTTTGGAAGCCTTTCTACTTCTCCTTCAGCATATGTAACCTAAGCCTCTAGTCACCTAACTATGAAAGTTTCCTCCAGAACCTGAGCAGTGTCTGAAATGTCATTAGCAAGGAAGGAAATTAAGTTCCTATTTTCCAGGGAGGCGAGGGAACTAATGCGTCACCGACTCCAATTGTAAAACTTACTCTACATCATCATGATAGGAGAAAACTAGAAATTTTATCTTGAAAATATAGATGGAATGGACCATAACCACTGTGAAACTTACAGTGAAGTAACAAGGAAAACTTTTCAAAATAAAGCCACCAGCTGTCAAGGAGGACTTGGCCAGGCATGGGAACGTGGGCACCTACTGACTGCTGAAGCTAGAACAGATAATCAGCTACACTGGGCCAGACCCAAGATGTGCAGCAAGAGGACACAAGACTCCTGTTTTGTGGGTTCTGTGACTGACTACATTCGGTCTTTTCTTCATTTCCTATGGGCCCCAGAGGTCCTGTTATCCAGCACCTGTTCTCAACTCCAACAGAAGGTTCCCCACAGAAGAATGTTTACTGCCTTGTAATAAATCAACAGTTTGCTCAATGTAAGTCCACACTTTCCCTGCCTTCCTCAAAACACTAATTCAGAGCTATCTGGATCTAGTTCCTGAACTGCAATCCTAAGACCTCAAATAAAACCCCTTTTCCTTTCAGTGTCTGAGTTTGGGTTTATAGACACCACTTAACTACAGAAGTGCCACATTCCTTCCTGTCTTCACACTCTCTTTCGCAATTGCCTGAGATGTGTTCCACGGTCTAGTTAAATACTGTTCGATAATAAAACTGTTTTTTTTCTCTTCTACCTCTATGGAGAGAATTTCTGGGTTGGTTGGAAGACTCTTAAACTATATTTCTCCAAAAACAGCTTTTAAAAAAATTAAAAGCAGCTCAATTCTCAAGCAATATGCATGGCAAATAGCAAAGTTTCATTTCTTGGAAGTGAAGTATTGGAGCAACCCTGAAATATGTTCCGCAACAACATGGAGCAAAGGAAGTCTAAAAATAAAGATGGAACAAAATAGAAAAACCCTTTGCTTCATTAAAAATAAACCCACATCCAAAGAGTCCAGATTGGTTAAGAACAGCTCCTATTTCCCTTCCTTTTCTAAATTAGCCGGGACAAAAGGCTCAACTGTCTTCAGCAGTGCCAAGTCAAGCTGATGCGCTGGCCTCCTCATGCCCTCCTCCGAACAGCACTCGGACTACCAGTGAGTAGTAAGCAGTCCTCAGTCTCTTCTTTGGCACCTTTGTGTCTGAAGGCAAGCAAGGAACCCATTCAGGAAGATCAAGGTAGACGGACATCAGGAGTCCAGTAATCTTAGAGATTTTCCCTTGCCTGTAACATCTCTTAGGAGGATTAAATGAGATCTTAAATCTGGTAGACAGAACATCAAAATATGCTCAACAGACAGTTTAAGAAATAAGAAACTACTACTTCGGGCTGGAGAGATGGCTCAGAGGTTAAGAACACTGGCTATTCTTGCAGAAGACTGAGGTTCGAATCCCAGCACCCACATGGCAGCTGACAACTGTCTGTAACTCCAGTTCCAGGGGATCCGACAGCCTCTTCGGACCTCTGCAGGCATTGCAAGACACAGGTGCACTTACACACATACAGGTAATACTCATACACATAAAATAAATAAACATAATAATAAAATATTTTTTAAAAAGAAAGGACTACTTCTACTTGGAATTACGTTTATAACCTGAATGTTAAAGAATCCTTAAAAACTTAAAATACAATTAACCCTAAGATTCAACACAGAAACTACAATCTCCCATGTAATTTAAAGGATGCAAGATTTTACATAGTATTTTTAGCCAGATTAAGCTCAAGGACACACAAACTAAAGGCGATCAGAACATACTACCCTTAAACATGCCCTTGTGGCACAGTGACTTTTCTGAGCTCAAGGCAACTGAGGATCAACAGAGTCAGGAAACAGTTTCTGCTTCCCCCTTTTTATCAAAAATTGTACGAGAGAGGAGAGAGCTCTTAAAACAGCAAGCAGAGATGGTCCCAGGTTGGGTCTGCACAAATTTACTAAATAACCCCATCCTCCACTGATTCCCTCTCCATACTTCTAGATCACTGCCTGACCTCACTAGCCCTACACACCCACACCACCTCTCCTGCTACTTCACCATTCACCACACTTAGTTGTGACTGCACAAACCTGTGAGCCAAAGCATCTGAGTTTTACTGCTTCAAACGCAGGTACACAAAAATATTAACAATTCAATTTTTAAGCCTTTTTCTTTCAATCTGCTCTTTTTCAGTTTGATTTGAATACCCCAGCTAACAAATCTAACGGTGTCAAAGAAATGCTTTCCTCTTCTCTATTCCCAGTTACCTAGTCAGTAGGAATTTACATTATCACGAAATTAGACAAATTTGAAAATACAATGCATAATACTAAGTAAAATTAAGCAGCTTTACATGTACTATTTCTCTTTACAAGTGAAAACCAAACCCCATAATAAATTTGTAAATCCATTAATAAGTCAACACTGAAAACACTATTTCACTAATGTTCTTCAGCAGTAAAATGATACACGGGTGGCCAAGAAATAGCCATCAGCTAGGGAGATGGCTCCGTGCCTGCCACAGAAGCACAGAGACTTAAGCACTATCCTCAACACACACACTGAAAACCCAGGCACAGTGGCACCCACCTGTGATCCCAACTGGGCAGGTGGAGACAGATCCCTGGGGCTTGATGGCATCCAGTCCAGCCAAAACAGCAAGCTCCAGGTTCAGGGAGAGAATATAAAGATATCAAAATAAAAGTGGGGCTGGGGAGATAGCTCAGTGGTAAGACGTGCACTGGGTGCACAAGTATGAGGGCCTGCGTTCTGATCAGCAGTACCATGTAGTAGGCAAGGCCATGTGTGCATGTAACCCCATCAATGAAGGGGGCCGAGATGTATGGACCACCAGAGCTCACTGGCTAGCCAGCTTAGTCAAGAAAGGGTGAGGTTCAGTGAGATACATACATACATACACACACACACACACACACACACACACACACACACACACGAGAAAAGAAAATTTTAAGTAAGATAAAATAAAAATACAGGGAGTATCAAAAATACCACAGTATGTAAGAAATACATAAGGGATTTACCAACTATTGTTTAGTGACTATACACTGTAAAAGACTAAGCTCAAACTGAAGACTGAGAGATTAAAGAGGAAAAAATGGGATAATAATTTCAAGAATTGAAGCACCATTATCCTTAGGCTGTTAAATACAGCACAGGAGAAATATTTATTTTTACTTCAACTTGTCATATGTGTCATTAGTAACAGCTCTGCACATTAATCTATTACCACAAAACACAGACTGGCTCTCTCCATATTCTCGCTTATAAGAGCCCCGCCCCAGGGTTACAAGTCTAAGAATAAATGAGGGAATATTTTTGGCAAACTATGGTTTGTTTTTCAAGATACAACTCAATTTAGCCATTAAGAGGGATGACAGTTTATATGTATAAAATGTGTATGTTATATTAAATGAAAAAAAAAATGAACATTTTTATTTACAATACGATGATGCTTGGGTCTTAGTTAAAACCTAAAGAAAGGCCAGGCTTGGTTTCTCACATCTTTAATCCCAGCAGTCAGGATGC